GTGGTCTAGCAGGGAGTGATCTCATGAGTCCGAGTAAGTAGGGCCGGGGCGCTGGTAGGAACAGTAGCGTCTCGACGGCAGGGCGGCTTGTTGGCTCGGCTGCTTGGCGGCTCGACGGCTCGGTTGCTGGGCGGCTGGGCGGCTCGGCGGCTCGGCTACTAGGCGGCTCGGGGGCTCGGCTTTTGGGTGGCTCGGCTGCTAGGCGGCTCAGCTGCTGGGCGGCTCGGGGGCTCGGCTTTTGGGCGGCTCGGCTGCTAGGCGGCTCAGCTGCTGGGCGGCTTGGCGGCTCGACGGCTTGGTGGCTCGGCTGCTCAGCTGCTAGGCAGCTCAGTGGTGAAGGGGCCGGTAGAGGCGGTGACGGGGCAGGTAGAGGCAGCGACGGGGCTGGTAGAGGCGGCAATGGGGCCGCGAAGGGCGGCGACAGGGCCGGTAGAGGCGGCGACGGGGTCGTGAAGGCGGCGACGGGGCCGCTAGAGGCGGCGACGGGGTCGCGAAGAGCGGCGACGGGGTTGCTAGGGGCGGCGACGGGGCCGCAAAGGGCAGCGAGGTGGCCGCGAAGGGCGGCGACGGGGCCTTCACAGGCGGCGATGGGGCCGAAGAGGGACCGCAAGGGGCCTAGAGGGTCGGCGAGGAGGCCGCGAAGGGGCCGTAAGGGGCCTAGAGGGTTGGCGATGGGGCCGCTAGGAGTAGCGACGGGGCTGCGAAGGGGCCGCGAGGGGCCTAGAGGGGCGGCGACGGGGCCTAGAGCGCCGGCGACGCGGTCGCAAAGTTGCCTAGAGGGGCGGCGACAGGGCCTAGAGGGGCGGCGACGGGGCCGCAAAGGGGCCGTGAGGGGCCTAGAGGGGTGGCGACGGGGCCGTAAAAGACGGTGACGGGACCGCTAAGGGTGGCGCGAGGGACCGTGAGAGGGGCCGCTAAGGTAGCGCGACGTGAGGGCGGCCTATGGGTCGCGCCTCGGGTATGAAAAATCGAGTTAGGTGGTGGGCCCTGAGAAGCGTTCCCACGAAGGAATCTGCTCTATACCATGTGAAGAATGAGGAATGAATGAACTAGGAAACAAGTGGGTACAAGTAGGAAAACCTAGAAGTGTTGTACCCCATATTGTCTACCCCACTATAGCCTACATAGACTATGGCCTCATAAGCTACTGCTCCACTCGTTCCATAGTAGGCTGATGAGGCCATTGCCAAGAGTAAAGCCATATCCCTAAGAAGAGCGGTGATAAGGGTGAGAGTCAGCATAAGAAGAGTCACGGTAACCTGAGAGAACGGGAGGAACGGAGCAAGGGTGAGAGCAAAATCAGAGGTGGCACGGAGATATCGCAGGACGCGCTTGGCAACTGCCCAGTGCACACAAGTATAACGACCAAGGCTTGCAGATCGAGAGAGAATACTGAGTGGGTGAGCAAGATCGGGGCGAGTACACATCATAGCATACATGAGGGACCCAACGAGCTCAAGATAAGGCCGCAATTCAGAGGAGGGAGCAGGGACGGCAGGGGCAGTGGATTGATGGTTAGTCAGAAGAGGGGTAGAGACCGCCTTGGCCTGCGACATCTTGAACCACTGCCCGATGGAGTGGATGTAGAATGACAGTGAGAGAGAGATGGTGCACGCAGCATGATCGCGACGGATCTCCATTCCGGGGTAGTGACGAAGCTTGCCGAGATCCTTGCACAGGAGACACTGCTGCTGGGCCTTCTTAACAGCAGCAAGGTTGACTGAGTCCTCAACGAGCAGCACTAAGTCATTGACGTAGGCAAGAATGTCAGCCTGTTGGGGGAAGTGCGAATGAAGAGACTAGGGTCGGAAGAAGAGATGGAGAAGCCAAGAGAGTGAAGAATGGAGGCGAACTTGTTATGCCACTGCGTGGGGCCTGATTGAGACCATACACTGGGCGCTTCAGCTCCCAGACATTGCCTGGAGGAAAGGGGCGAGGAAAGCCAGCAGGGCGCTCAAGGAATATGCGCTCATGAAGCTTGCCCTGGAGAAAGGCATTGGAGACATCTATGGAATGGATTTCCCAATCCCTGCGGGCACCTAGGTCAAGTAGGAGGCAAAGAGTGGGGAGACGAGCAGTGGGGAAGTAAGTGGCAAAATATTCAATGCCTTTGGGTGAAACCTTTGGTGAAGTAACGGCCTTTAAAAAAGGGAGCTCCTCAGACAGTTGCTGACACGAAAGACCCATTTTCCCTTGACAATGGTGGCGCCAGGGGGGGGGGGGGGGGGTTAGAGTCAATGTATGAATGAGTCCTAGTGAATGTCTCACACTTGGCAATGATGGCAGCCATCCACTCAGTGGCGTGAAAGCCCGACATGACGTCGGAATAGGACTGAGGGGTGGGAATAGAGGCAATGTCAACAGAGAGAAGAGTGGGAGAATGGCTGGAATCGCCAATGGTGACACAAAGGAGAGGAGAAACACGATGAATAGAGAAAAGCTCCTCAAATCGTTCATCGAGAAGATCAAGGTCCTGAGAGGGAGAGAGGTGAGTGAAGAGAGCAAAGTGTTGAAAATTGGACATCGCGCGGGTCATGGAGCGGGTGAGGCATGGAGAAAGTGGGGGAGCAGAAGCGGAAGAAAGGGAAGCAGAAGGAGGCTGGGAGGGCATTGGAGCCGAAGAGGAGAGGTGCCAAATAGGATAGCGTAAGAGGGGGTAGAAGAGGTAGGCGGGGTAGGAGGCGCAGGGGCAGGAGAAAGGGGAGGAGGGGAGGGAAAAACAGAGGGCAGTGGATCAAAGACAGGCCAAAGGAGGGAGGGAGCAGGAGGGGTGGGGGGGGGGGGGGGGGAATGGAGAGCGGGTCTCATCGAAGATGACATCCTGACAGCGAATGAGCTGTTGAGAGGAGAGAGCATAGAAAAGGTAGCCAGGACAATCAATGTTGATGCCAATAAATGCTCAAAGCTGCGTGTTGGGAGTGAGCTTCCCACCCTAACGCGCCTGATTAGCGGATTGATGAGGACATGAGTGATACGGCTCCACACCCGAAGAGAGCGGGCAGAGGGCTGGTAGCCAGTCTGCAGCTGGAAGGGGGTAATGGATGGATGAAGGGGATGAGGGCGGAGGTTAGAGAGAAGAGTGGCATGAATGAGAGCATGGCTCCAAAGGGAGTGCAGAGCGGAGGCATGAGTAAGGATACAGCAAGTGATCTTCATGAGAGTGCGAATATGACGCTCGACAACACCATTCTGTTTAGGAGAATGTGGAAGGGTGGATGTTTGCCGAATGCCATGAGAGGAGCAATAAGAGGAGAGAGAGTGGTTAAAGAACTCGCCACCACCATCAGAGTGGAGACGCGCGACAAGGCAGCCAAAACGAAGGCGTGCCTGCTCAGCCCAGCGAACAATGAGGGAGAGGGCGTCAGATTTGGCCCGGAGGTGATAAACGGTGGCAAAGTGAGAATGATCATCAACGAGAAGGAGAAAGTAGTGGTGACCTTGACGGGAGGCAATGGGGGAGGAGCCATAAACGTCCATATGCACGAGATCAAGGGATTTGGGAGAGGCGGATAGGGAAGAAGGATGGGGAGATTGTGAGAGCTTGGCTTGAACACAAGGGGTGCATGGAGGAGCGGGAGAGGGAGGAAGGGGCGGGACAGAGGAGGGGAGATCATGAAGGAGCTTTGAAGTGACCATGCTGCGAAGGAGAGGAAAATTGGGGTGGCCAAGACGATGATGGAGAAGAAGGGTAGGTTGGGTGAGAGAGCTACAGTCACAAGAGAAGATGGAAGGGACGAAAACAGAGGAAGTGTGATGGACAGAAGAGGGGATGGAGACACGGAGGGAGTAGAGGCGAGAGGCAGGAGAAAGGGTGAAACAATCAAGGTGACAGTCGCGGTAATGAAGGTCACAATAGAGTTGACATGCAGGGAAGATTGCTTGCACACCCAGGCATTGGAGGGCAGAGAGGGATAGGAGGTTATGACGGAAGGAGGGAACATAAAGGCCAGTAATAGCACCAGAGGGAGAGGCAGGACAGGGAAGAGAGGAGGTGCCAATACAGGTCATGGTCATGGTCTCCCCAGCTCCAAGAATATAGAGGGGGCGAGGAAAAGAACGAAGGACACCATCATCATGGAAAACAGCCGGTGGCAGCACTGTCAAGGACAAGTTCCAAGGTGCGAGGAAGAGAAAGAGCAACAGCCGTAGGACTAGGAGAGTCGAAAACATTGTTATGAAGAGGAGCAGTAAGTGAGATGGCAAATCAAGGATCATGAGAGGAGAAGCACCAAGAATGCTATCTTGAGATGGTATGGTCACACTAAAAAAATGGCCAGAGAACCAGTACCAGAGATCGCAGTGGCAAGCACGGTCGGGGCAGAGGGGTGGCGATGCTAATGAGACAGCGGAATCCAAGCAAGGGGGTTGGAGAAGGGGGGGGTCCAGCAGTAAGTGGGAGAGGCGGTACAAGGGTTGGAAGGGGGAACGGATAAAGCAGGGGGTAGGAAAGACAGGGGTAGGAGGGGAGGTACAGCAATAGGAGTAGAGGGAAATGGCGCAAAGGAAGAGATGGAAGGGCGAGGAGAGAGCAACAGTGGAGATGTAGGGAGACAAAAGAGGAGGAGGAATAGGGGCAAGCTAGTCAGATGCTGAGCCATTGAGGGGAGAGACAAGAGGAGGAGGAATAGGGGCGAAGTAGTCAGCTCTTGATGGGAGACACATGAGGAGGAGAAATAGGGATGAAATAGTCAGCTGCTGAGCCATTGGGGGGGTATTTGAGAGGCGAAGGAATAACGACGGAGTAGTCTGTTGCTGCGCCACTGGGGGGGGGATTCAAGAGGCGGAGGAGCAACGACGGACTAGTCTGATGTTGCGCCAGTGCAGGGAGATGTAAGAGGCGGAGGAATAACAACGAAGGAGTCTGCTGCTTCGCCGCTGGCTGGAGAGTTAAGAGGCGGAGGATTAACGGCAAAGTAGTCTGCTGCTAAGCAGCTGAGGGGAAAATATTGAGGAGGAAAAGTGAGGACGAAGAAGGGCGACGAGACAATATCAACTACCCGCTACAGCTGATGGGGAGAGGAAAGAGGAGGAGGAACGGGTGAGGTAGTGGGGGGAATTGAGGGAGAGAGGAGAGGAGGGTGAAGGGGCGGATAAGAAGGATGTAGGAGCGCGTTCACCAGGTGGCAACCAGCAACCAACAGGCAGCTGCAGCAGATGCGGAGGGGAAGGATGTGGAAGAAGGAAGGAGAGGCACAAAGGGGAGGATGGAGAGAAGAGAGGAGGGGGATGTTGAAGAGGCAGATAGAGTGGGCGGAGAGGGCGGAGGTGGGGTAAACGAGGCAAATTGAGGCGTACCATGAGGGGAGGGGAAGGTGCCTGCAAGGAGGTGAAGCAGGACGCCCGCGAGAGGGTAAGGGAGGGCGGCCGCGAGGGGGTAAGGCTGGGCGGCAGGGAGAGGGACAGCGGTGAGCAGTGGGCACACGCACGTCGATGGCGGGCCGAGCACGCGCGTCGACGATAGGCAGGCCGCGCGCGTTGATGATGGGCACGGAGCACGCGTCGATGATGTGCACGGTGTGCGAGGAGGCGGGGCAAGGGAGGTGGGGGGAGCGCGCGACGATGGAACAAGGTGCGCGACTAGGGGAGGGGGCGTACGGGGCGTGTGACTAGGCAGGGAGGCCGCGGGCAATGGGTAGTTGGGATGAGCAAGGGGCGAACACAAACGTGTTCGAGGCAAACACATTTGTTTTCGCCCAGTGGAGATTTTCGCTATAGTCACACATGGCAGACACAGAATTTTCCCCTGCGAGATGATAGGTAGGGGGGTTCAAGGTGTTTAGGGGTTTATGTAATGTACCAACAGCCACTACATCGTGTTGTGTTCAACAAAACCACATAAAAAATTCTACACCATAGTCCCACTGCTACCAACAACACCATCCCCACCCCCAGCTACATCTGCCTCCTCCTCCTCCTCCTCCTCCTCCTTCTTGTCATCTTCCGACCCCTCACCTTCAATAGCGAACTCCTCGTCATCTACCGCCTCCTCGCCCTTGATGGCGAACTCTGGTGCTGTGACTCCTCTCGGTCGACGGCCCTCGCCAATCCTCTGGCCAGGGTGTGAACTGCACCATGATATGGGAATCATGGCGGATCGTGTCCTCTTGGAGCCCAGGTGGTGCCGCTTCCAGGAGATGAGGTTGCGACCCAGAGAGATTACCCGCTCGCTCGCAGCGGACATGGCAGGGATGGCGAAATAATTCCTTGCCATGAGCCTCAGCGTCTGCATGTTGGTGGCGGTGCGCCAGTACTTTGTAGCTGTCACGTCATACTGCACCCACTCGGACAAGTTGTTCTAACCTCATCATCCTGCACCATTCCCTCCCTTCCTCCCGATAGATGCGTCGCAAGTCGTTGGCAACTAGGAAGAAACCGGTCGTCCTCATCATCCCCCTCGCCTCCCTCCTCCTCCTCCGCAACGGTGCTAAGGGTAGTCAGTTGGGGAGCAAGTGTCAGAATGTAATTGTATACATTAATCTATAACTGCCTGTAGTGTAGACTTTGTGTAGTTATCTTGCCTGTTAGGTGGTGCACCTCTCTTCTCATGCTTGTTCTTTCATATTTGTACCCTTGAGCCTATAGTGAAACCCTCTCTTTTGGCCAACACTCTCGACATTCACCTAGGTTAGGGTTTCTCCTAAGCCTAGGTTCTCCTACCTCTTTCAACATGGTAATCAGGGCAGGAAACTTCCTGCGGCCTTCCTTAACGGGCCTATCAGTCTGCTTCCGCTGCCTGTTATCCTGCCGCACGCCTCGGGCGCGCGGCGCACGGCGATTTTCTGCCCGACGTGTGCTCGGGGCGCACGGCGGTTTTCTGCCCGCCGTGCGCCCCGGGCGCGCGGCGTCTTCCTGCCCCGCGCGCGGCCTGCCCTCACGCTGCCTGCGCGCCTGCCCCACGTCCGCGCGCGGGCCTGTTCTGCCCGCCCGTACCCTGCCCTTCGCGGTGCCCTGCGTGACGCCGCTCTTGCTCGTCGCGACGCCCCTTCGGGACCCGTGCGTCGCCGCTCCTGCTCTTCGCGACGCCCGTGCGGGACCCGTCAAAAGTGACGTCCTGAGAGGGGAAGACGCGGTGCGAGGCGGGGTGGTAAAACTGCCAGCCAGACGCATCCGGGACAAAGCCAAGAAAGACACAGGGAGCAGTGCGAGAGGAGAGCTTGTCCGCAGACGTGTCGCGAACAAAAGCTCGGGATCCCCAGACACGGAAGCGTGACGCATCGCCAACCTCCCCCGTCCACAGCAGTGTGGGCGAGGTCTCCGGAGCGGAGACACGGGGCCAGAGGTTGAGCTGATGCGCAGCGTACCGGACCGCAAACGGCCACAGAAAGTGGGGGGCAGCCGCGTGGACTAAGGAGGTACGAACGACCTCCATGACCAAGCCAATGCGGCGCTCAGCAACCCCATTCTGCTGTGGAGAGGCCGGAAGCGTGAACGACTGGCGAATGCCGTGCTCTGCACAGTAGGCTGCCAAGAGGTCGGAGGAGAACTCGCCACCTCTGTCAGAGTGCAAGCGCAGGACAGGAAACTCCGAGCGAAAACGCTCTCGCAGCTGAAGACGTGCTCTGCTGATCCAAGGGATCAGAACATCAGGGACTTCACCCTTGGTGCGCAAGGGGAAGACCGTGGTGTAGCGCGAGTAGTCGTCAACGACGATCAAGAAGTACCTCTCCTGGCCCTGACCACGGACGCGGGCTGGGCCCCACACGTCCATGTGGAGCGTCTGCAAAGGAGCAGTCGTCGGGGGGAACGAGGAGGAGTGAGGGGCAGCGCGCTGCCGCCCCTCGACACAGGGAAGACAAGGAGGAGCAAGGGAGGGTGGGAGGGGAGGGAGTAGGAGAGGAGGTGGGGGGAGCCAAGCGCGGCGAGCCCCTCTTACGAACCCCCAAGTCCACACCCTCTTTCAGCCACCCCCCTCAACCTCACCCCCCTTGTCAACCGCCCCTGCCCTACCCGCACCGACCCTCTGTAGCCGCTCTGCGGCTCTCTCCCCGCCCCCCCCCTCCTCCTTCGTCTCCCTGCAGCCGTGGGGGGGAGGGTATGGAGGTGGCGGGTGTGGGGGTGATGGGTGGTGTGTTTCCCTTCCCCTCCTCCTCCTTTCGTTCCCACTGCTGCAGCTGCCGCTGGGGGGGAGGGTGTGAGGGTGTGGGGGAGCCGGGGGAGTGGCACTGGGGTGGCGGGTGTGAGACCAACCAGCAGCAGTCCCTCCTCCTCTCTCTCTTCCTCCCGCCCCTCCTGGGGTGGGGGGGAGAAGGGGGGGGGAGGGTGAGGGGGTGGCGGGGGTGACCAGCATGCGCCAGCCCACCTCCTCTCTCTTCCTGCCGCCCCTCCTGGGGTGGGGGGGAGGGGGGGGGGGGGAGGGTGAGGGGGTGGCGTTGGAGGAAGGGTGGGGGGAAGGCGTGAGGTTCCAGGGGGCGGTTGACAAGGGGGGTGAGGTTGAGGGGGGTGGCTGAAAGAGGGTGTGGACTTGGGGGTTCGTAAGAGGGGCTCCCCGCGCTTGGCTCCCCCCACCTCCTCTCCTCCTCCCTCTCCTCTCCTCTCTCTCTCTCTCGCCTCCTCCTCCTCGCATTCTTCTCTGCCGTCTTCCGCTGTGCTTGGTGTACCCCTTCCGGGGGTGTTTCTGCACATGGTTCTTCACTGCAGGCAGTTAGGGGGTGTGTCAGAATGTAATTGTATACATTAATCTATAACTGCCTGTAGTGTAGACTTTGTGTAGTTATCTTGCCTGTTAGGTGGTGCACCTCTCTTCTCATGCTTGTTCTTTCATATTTGTACCCTTGAGCCTATAGTGAAACCCTCTCTTTTGGCCAACACTCTCGACATTCACCTAGGTTAGGGTTTCTCCTAAGCCTAGGTTCTCCTACCTCTTTCAACAGCAAGCTCTGCAGCCCGGGCCTGGTACTCGACCACACGCTCGCGTACTAGCGTGATCACCTTGCCGGACGCGGGACACGACCTCTCCCTCCTGTGTGTGTCAAGATACAGCGTCTCCTAGTTCGCGTCGTCGAACCACACCGCCTTCATGGATGGGTCTAGGAAGGTGGCGATCCGATACTCGTTGCTGGTGATGTACACATACTTCTTCAAGTGGCCCAGCGCCGCCATGATCATCGGCTCCAGCGTCGCAGATGGCCCCTTGGCAAGGCGCGACTCCATCGTGTCGATCAGGCTGTTGTAGTACGGCACCACCATCGACACAATCGTGTACGCCGCCCCCTCAGCTGCCTTGGAGACCTTGTTGAAGAGGCTAAGAAATTTCTTCAACGCCTGCAAAATCTCCCAGTTAGCGTCTATCAGGCGCGGACTATCCATCTTCTCCTTCTCTGCCTTCTTCAAGCCCTGTCCGGGTGACGGTTCGGTATGGTGGGTGAGTATGGTAAGAGTTTTATGGGTGTTGTGCGCATTTTTTATACAAGCTCGACCAAAAGCGTTGAGGGGAAGTGTAATTAAACGCCCTAACAAACCCAAAAAGCAAGACCCCCATGTCATACCTGGGTCGAGAAAAAGAACACTGTGATGGGGTTCTGCAGAACGCAGGTGCGGTCAACCATGTCGTGGGTCGACCCCCACCTCACAAGTGTTGTGTGATGCAATCATATGCATTCACGTGTGTCTGCCTCCCATCAGATGTTCGTGCGTTGCATGCACTTGGGGTGTGCACTTGGGGCTTGCTAAGGATCACAAGGGCTGGCTGATTAGGGACTTGACCAGCCAGCAGCTGACTGTGTCAAGGGATGTGAAGTTCCTCGAGTCCTTATACGACAAGGAGTGGAAGCAGCAGCAGCAGAAGCTTCCTACTACACCGCTGATCATTGCGGCTGATGAGGTGCAGCAGCCTTCAAGGCAAATGCAGGTCACTGTCTCAGAGGAGGAGATTTCTGGGGTGACTGAGGATGGGGGAGAACCTGAGGTGGAGGAGCAGCAGCAGCAAGGTGCTCCACAAGGTGCCGCACGTCCGGCTGACCGTGCTAGGAGGGATGTGCGCCCTCCTAACCGGCTGACCTATCCGAGCTTTGGCAAGCCAAAGGTGGTAAGGGCTGGGAGTGTGGCTGAGCAGTGTGATGAGGATGAGAGAGCACACTGCTACTGGGCAGCCAACCTTGAGCCCAAGACGCTAGCTGAGGCATTGAGCGGGCCTGATGCTGAAAAGTGGAAGCAGAGTGTGAAGGAGGAGCATGATTCTCTGCTGGAGAATGAGACGTGGGAGCTGTGTGAGCTGTCAGCTGGGAAGAAGGCCATTTCTTCCAAGCTGATCTTCAATCATAAGTACGGACCAGATGGGGAGCTGACCCGCTACAAGTCAAGGCTTGTAGCTGAGGGGTTTCAACAGACAAAGGGGAAGGATTTTGACGAGATCTTTGCTCCTGTGGGGAAAGGCACAACATTGAAAGTGTCACTGGCAATGGCAGCAAACCGTGGATGGCGGGTGAAGCAGATGGACATCACCACCGCCTTCCTCAATGGGATCATTCTGGAGGAGCTGTACATGTTACAGCCTAAGGGTTTGGATGATGGGAGCGGCAGGGTGTGCAGGCTGAAGAAGGCCATCTATGGCCTAAAGCAGGCTCCTCGTGCATGGTACCACAAGCTAGAGGAGACACTGCTGGCTGGGGGGTTCAAGAAGAGTGAGTGTGACCACACCCTGTTCCTGCTACAAGAGAAGGAGCAGTTTCTCATGCTCCTGGTGTATGTGGACGACATCCTCCTCTTCTTCGAGTCGTCTGCAATGATTGAGCATGTGGAGGAGATGCTGGAGATGCAGTTCAAGTGCTTGAAGATGGGAGATGTGAAATATTACCTAGGGATGCATGTGGAGAGGGACGGAGTGTTGAGATTGCACCAGAGGAAGTACTGTGAGGG